TTTTTTTTTTTACCTTCTTGATCTCTGCCCCATTTAGTGTGCTTCTCAGTAGTTCACAGTCATCTGTGTGAAACATAGCTCACATTAACACTATTTCCCCAGGTGGTCTATAAGGCTTTTTTTTTTTTTTTTGCAGTTTTTGCCCAGGGCTGGGTTTTAACCCGCCCCCCCCGGTATATGGAGCCAGTGCCCTACTCACTGAGCCACAGGGGCCGCCCAGGAAGAGTTCTTAATTTGGAAGTTGGCGCGTCCGGGCTGGGGATTCGAACCCGCCACCTTAGGTGTACGTGGCTGGCGCCTTAGCGGGTTGAGCTATAGGCGCCGAGCCCAGGGCTGGGTTTTAACCCGCCAACCTCGGTATATGGAGCCAGTGCCCTACTCACTGAGCCACAGGGGCCGCCCAGGAAGAGTTCTTAATTTGGAAGTTCCAAGAGATTGTGCTCTTAAAAGGTTTGGGGTTGTGTATAAGGACTCCATAATTGTGGCAAATCTTCAAGACATTTATAGTACCTCATTTAGAAACCAATGCAATGAGGTTAGAAAGGAATACTAAAGCTAATGGGGAGCCAAATGTTGCCATTAAAACAAAAACCTACAAAGACAGATGCTACACATTAAAAGTATCACAGCTCATGGTCTCTTCTGCAAGCAGGGGAAGCAGTATGAGAGGAGTCGGGAGGGTGCTCGCCAGCCACACACGTGTGGACACATGTACTCCACTACGCATGATGGAAGACTACCTATAGCCAAACTGCTCCTCCAAATTCCTGTGGCAGTTATGGTGCCAGCCACATTAGTCAGCATTTCCTTAATTCACTCCTTCGCTCATTCAACAGGTATTTCCTGAAGACCTCCCAACGCCAGGCATTATTTTAAGCACTGGGAATCCAGTGGTAGAGGGGACAGGCACGGTCTCTCTCCTTGTCCTCAAGGAACTTATTATGATTTTGAGAAGTTGGGGGAGGAGACACTGGAAGAGCAACTAAATAAACAAGAAAATTCCTGAGTGAGATGGATGTGATGAAGGAATTATGCAGCGTGATGAGAATAAGAGGAATGGTGGTCATTTCCTGAAAAACAGCATATAAGCAGGACCTCCAGGATGAGGAAGAGTCAGGACATATGGACCTGGAGTAAGAGAACAAGCAGAGAGCACAGCAATGCAATGACTCTGATCTCAAAAAGACCTTAGTGTTTTGCCAGGCTGAGCCAGGGCGAGACCTCATCTCCACTAAAAATAGAAAAACTAGCCAGGTGTTGTGGGGGGCACCTGTAGTCCCAGCTACTCAAGAGGATCACTTGAGCTCAAGAGTTTGAGGTTGCTGTGAGCTATGACGCCACAGCACTTGACTCAGGGCAACACAATAAGACTCTATCTCAAAAAAAAAAAAAAGAAAGAAAGAAAGAAAGAAAAAGAAAATAAAAAAAGACCTTTGTGTTTTGGAGGATCAAAAAGAAAGTAGATAGTAGTGTGACATCAAAGTGGGAAGTATTATAAAATAATTTGGAGAGGGAGGCTGGGGTCTGAGCATGGACGGCCTTGAAGACCTGGTACAAGCATAGGGATTCTGGTCTCAATGCAATGAGAAGCCACCGAAGGTTTTTAAACAAGGGACTGCACGTATTATTATTACATGTATAACAGACTTCTCCTCCTCCATGGCTAGAGGACCATACTGAAGCAGGAGTGAAAGCAAGAGAGAAAGATCTATTAAAAAGCTGCTGCAGACCTGGCCCAGTGGGTCACTCCTGTAATCCCAGCACTCCGGGGGCCAGGGCAGGAGAATTGCTTGAGGCCAGGAGTTTGAGACCAGTTTGAGACCTCATCTCTACAAAAAAAAAAAAAAAAAAATTAAAGATGCTGTACTTTTCTATATTTGTACAGGTGAGAGATGCAAGAGGTCTAGACCAGGTAACCAGTGGTGACAGGAAGGAGTGGAACAGTTCATGATTTATAAGAAGGTATAACCCACATGACCCTGATGGGCTGCATGTGGGTCCATGAGGGAGAAGAACAAGTCAAAGACGACTCTTAGGTTTCGGTTTGAAAAGCCGGTGACTTGTTCCATTTACTGAGCTAGGTAAGACAGGAGGATGGGCCTGACAGACAGGTGTGTGTGGTGGAGGCAGAAAGGTTGGAAAACAAGAGTTGTGTGTGCAATATATTAAGAGTGCACAGGCCGTCACGAAGGCTCATGCCTGTAATCCTAGCACTCTGGGAAGCCGAGATGGGTGGATTGCTTGAGCTCATGAGTTCGAGATCAGCCTGAGAAAAAGCGAGACCCTGTCTCTCCCAAAAATAGACAAACTGAGCCAAGAGGATCACTTGAGCCCATGAGCTGGCGGTTGCTGTAAGCTATAACATCACGGCACTCTACCCAGGGCAATAGCCTTAGACTCTGTCTCAAAAAAAAAAAAA